TTCATACCAGGAGCTCAAGGGTTTGTTATGAAACATAAGATCCTCGTCGTTAATAACAGTAGGTTGGATCCAATTGCCGCCTTTTCCGCCGGAGATGGCTTTAGAAGCCTTCATGGTAGCTACTTCTGAAAATATAGTAAGGCTGTTTAATTTGCTACTTGGGAGGAAGAAATAATACATTTCCCATCAGCTTGTGACACATATGAGTCTTGATCTAACTTTAATTGGCTATCCGGTCCTAAGTTAATCCGGTTCCATCTACCCCGTAGGCCCATTGTCGCGACCATAAGTTGTTGGGTTGTGACAGATTGGCTAGCATATTCATCATCGACGGCGAGGTTTAATGAATTAAAGTGTAAATTTCACAGCAACGAAGAATAAAACACGTTAAATAATATATGAGACAGTATGTAAGCCTTAGAACATACTTATGTTTAAGCCTTAATTATTTTATACCATTCTTAGTTTCTAGTTTGAGGTGTTAAATATATAGTAGTAGCACCTATCTATAGCGAAAGCACATCCCCGAAACTGACCTTCCTTCATGGTTGTGCTCGTTGGTATTTCTTATGTGCGAGGTGCGCCAGTGTGGCATAAGAAAGTTTTGAAATAATTAGTGATAAACATAGTTACTGCTTTTACAAAGAAGATCATTAGACAGAAACGATACAAGTCTGGATTACTTGTGGATTAGTACCACAGATATGATAATTCGAATCGGTGGTGTCTATTTAGACAAGTTGTGTGTCAAGTTCGATTGCGATAATGACTTCTGAAGGTGCTTTATTTCAGACCACTTCAGTGAAGAGAACACTGTTTCCGGCGTCTTGCGGGCTACTGGCTCGCTGGTTGGGTCCTCAAAGTCGAAGTCCATAGCCAGTGGAAAGCGAAAGCATAAAACCGTACCCAGTGATGCGTCCAATATCTGCCATTTGCGATCGAAACCACGCGGAATACTCATTGTCGAGATTCGGTATTGCAGAAACAATCATCAAGGGAAGAATGGCCGGCTCCGTTGTCCCCGGTACGCCGGAGTTACCCTCACGAATGACGATGCCATCACCAAACGGACCGGGTCGTTCCGATCCAGAAACTCTTTCTAGGCAAAAAGGAATCGTTGAAGCTAGACCGTCTGCTAGAGACAGGATATCATCTCGGGCCTCCGTGATGAGCGTCTTGGAGATGGCGTGAGGTTGAGAGCATGCCTCCATTAATTCTAGCACTCGGACTCGCAAATGTCGCGCGAGAAGTCCGTAGCCGTAGTACTGGGCGTGAAGGGCAGCATCACCCTGATTTGTGTAAATATGAATACGGTGTCCAAAGAATTTATCTCTGCGCAAGGCACGGTCGCTTGAAAATGTGCGCTGCATGTTTGTACTGCACGCTGATTCTGCCGATCGTTCTAGCCAGCTGAGCAGTGCGGTGTCAATTGCGCGTAACTCTTGGTCAATGAATTTGAGTCTTTTCAAGTCGTCTGAGGAGAAGTGCGTTCCACATAGCTGAATCGTGATTTCATCCACCTGAGCTCGAAGGCTGATGAGTCTTATAATGATTTGGTCTAGTTCCAACTCACCACCAAGCTCGCCGAAAACAGCGCCGTCCATAAGCCAGTCAGGAATATCAACCAGACCAAAGAGAGTCACTTTCCTCAGGACTCGTCTCGCATATTTGACAGCCTCGGTGGGGGGCTGAGTATTGCTGATGACATCTCTCCAATACAGCAAGACGGCCATAATTCCTGCATAATGTGGCCGACTCTGGGGCGGGGTGGAATTCCCCAAGCTGCTATTCGCGCTAATGTTATGAATTGAGTCCTCATATCGACTCATGTAACAGATCGTGAGTAAACACGCATTGATGTTATCCGGGTTCAAAGCGGACAGGTCGAACTTTAACAATGGCAGAGACTCTTGGTAGGTAAGTGATGCCCGTGCCGCCGCTGGTGGATACTTCCTCATCCTGGAGAAGACCACAAGAGCCACCGAGGACACAGCAAGAGGCAACGCCGGGGTTGACTGCCAGGCAGCCAACAGGGCATTAAGTGGAGTTTCTAAGACGGACGCGGCATCGTTGACGGGCTCCAGGTGTTTTCGCATGTAGTAAGCGATAGCTTCGGATTGAAAGTCGCGGGACAGGCCTGTACTAAGCACGACGGTACCCCTATCTGCAGACCGGGGTCCTCGTGGCCGTTTCTGCTTCCTGCTTGCATAGACGGTTTCGTCAATTACTAGCGAGAATGCCTCTTGATAACCATAACAGGTCTTTCCAGCTCTGGTGCATCTTAGACACGCAGGTCTGGTGTCGTCACACTTGGGTTCCGTTAGTCATCGGCATGAAGTGATATCTGAAGACTGCATATGTAAACCAAGAGGCATTTCACCTTTTTCCGAGCAAGCTTGCATGGCCGGCATCCAGCGGCAGAAAATCGCATTGCGATCTCGTGGCACGGTGGCTACCGAGCTCGGCGTTAACGGGTCATTCACAGTCCGCGAGTACTTCAAACGATGCCGCGGTCATTGACGCAGGCACTGATGGAACAGCCGGAGAGCGATGGGAGTTTTGTTTGGTTCATTCGGCACCATGCTCTGCCTGCCAGCGAAGAGATAGGAGGGATATTACCGCGATGACGGGTGATTGCGCTGATACGCGCAAAATTCAACATTTGGAATCCCTGTGGACTGCTGTCACATGTCAGCAGTGCCACTAGGCGGTGACTAATGGCTTCCCATAGCGGCAATAGAGGTGGTATCATAACCCAGTTGAACAGGGGAAGTCTAAGTTGAATCTAAGCAGCGCGAGTATGCCCCAGAAAGGACTAGCGCTTCCGCTTTTATGCGGCGTGGGGCTGGTTGAGCCCCGTCCAAGTCTGGGAGTCCATTCTATTTGGCTCCAGAGGCAAACAAAAGATATTCTCGATGCTTTCTTCCAAGTTAGATGGATAAAATATCGGGATCATTCGTCGGAGATATGTAAGTATATCCGGATTCGTGGGAAGGCAGTGGAAGCAAGGAGGCGCAACGGGGTATGACTGATGTTTATCTCCATGGCCGATATTCCTCCTTATAAGAGTCCAAGCCGCCCCTGGAGACTATTCTGTTGCAAGTTTTGTCTCTCTATCATATCATCTAAACGTTTGATTTGAGCTCTGAATATAGCTATTTAGCCAGCATAGTCTCTGGAGCGATGGGTTTCTTTTCAACGGTGCTGTACGAACAGTACTTCCTCTCTATCCCCGAACCGACTGCCTCCTTCTCACACAAGACTATCATCATCACTGGAGCCAACAGCGGACTGGGCAAAGAAGCTGCTCGATACTATTCCAAGCTAGGATGTACGCGTCTCATCCTTGCTGTTCGAAACGTCAGCGCCGGCGAGGCGGCGCGTAAAGACATCCTGGCGACCACCTCCGCCGCCGAATCAACAATCGCCGTCTGGGAGGTAGACATGGCAAGCTTCGACTCTGTCGTCAAGTTCACTCAGCGTGCTATCAACGAGCTCGATCGTCTCGATATTCTAGTCTGCAACGCCGCCATCAGCACTTCTAGTTTTTCTGAAATGGAAGGCTATGAAAGCATAGCGACAGTCAACGTCCTCTCCACGCTGCTGATGGCAACTCGCCTACTTCCGCTCCTCGAGAAAACAGCCGCGCTAGGCCCTGTACCGGGCGATCCGCAGCCACGACCTCCTCATCTCAGTATGGTGACTTCTGACACGCACATGATGTCTAGCTTCAAAGAGCGCAACGAACCGTACCAAAATCTCTTCTCCACGATGACCACCAACTGCAAGACCTCTGGCACACGTATGGCTGTCCAATACGCAACCTCAAAGCTGCTCGTTCTTCTCTTAATGCGCGACATGGTATATCGTCAACTTCGCTCTGGTCCTAGCACCGGTATCAAGGCCGTCAAGGACCCAGAGACGATATGCCCCGTCATCATCAATGGACCGAATCCAGGTCTATGTCAGAGCGGACTGACGCGGGAGTTCCCTGTAATGACACGCATAATGAACTTTGCTCTGCATGCGCGACCCACTAAGATGGGAGCCAGCGCCATAGTGAATAGTACCAGCGCTGGATGGGAGACGAATGGGCAGTATTTGAGTGCAAACAAGGTGCAACGCGGAAGCGATTTGAGCTGGGACGCAGCCGTGGCGGAGAATCTTCGTAAAGCAGCAGACGAGTGCTTGCAGAAGTTTCAAACAGCTTAGACGCCACATCATATAGGAAAGTAAAGATCAGCATGATTTGCGAATTGTTACGCAGGAGGATTTTGAATTATACTGGTCAGTGCTAGGCGCTAAGATAGCACCCTTCTTAATATCACCATACCAAGCTTCCGCAATTGGCCTCATAGCTGGAGATGAAAGAGTATCAGCTCGAGATAAGTACTCTTTGGAAGCGGTCGCGTACTTTACGAGTAGAGCGACATACTCAACACGATCGAATGTCGCCGTATTTCATCTGCGCCTTTCTATTTTGCCAATGTCTGTAATAATTCCCACTTTCAGTTCTCAGAAAAGTGTCCCAGCGCTATCTAAGATATGAATTGGGCTCGACATAGTTTGGGGCCTGTACCCGAAAGCCAGCTCTTGGCCGCATTTCCATGTGCCCGCCTCCAGAACCTGCGCCAATATCAACTTCGGACAGCTTCCTAAGCTTTGGATAAGTTTCTGATTAACAAGTTCATGAATCTTGTCCAAAAGAGCCGCCGTGAGAGCACGCCACTCCACAACTACATCGCTTGTAGCATCAAAGCTAGGAATCTTTTCGGTTGAGCTTAGAAGGCCTTGCGAGTAGATGTCGGGTTTGAGCGTGAGCACACCAGTGTCGACAAACAAGCCTCCGTTTCTATACTCATAAAGACCGGTGAGTGGATTTGTATGCGTCCATCGTACGTTTAAAAGGCGCTCAAAGGCCATCATGAGAGAATATGATAGCCATTGCGTCAGTTTGTGAAAGCTTTGGACGCCAGGCCTATCCTTTAGAATCTCCTGGAGAACTGAAAAGGCCAGCAGTCACCCAACGGTTCGCCTTTGTAGTGCGTGCGAGTTTTGGGCCAAATTGGGATGAGGAGCGACTGTAAGAGATCCCAGAGCTTCTTGATCTCAACACCCCGACCCTCCGCGGCAGTCTGAAGTATAATCTTATGCGACGCATTAGAACGTCAGGTGGAAACGCTTCGGATTTACTCACCAACAATGTCGCTTGGTCTGCCTCGCTTGAAAATGCTTGGGTTCGATTCTAACGAAACACCAAGGCTCTGAAGTAGGTAGCAACGGCTTTCCAGTCCGATCAATTGGTTCTTGGGGGATGCCGTCATTCCTTTGGCCAGCTTTTCTGGCGACAAGCTTCGTAAACCAGCTGCTAAATGATCATAACTCAAATCAGTAGTGCTTTCCAGTCTGAGATAGCATATCGTTGGACAGTATGCTGTAACTTACCATCAACTATCTCATTACCATCCGCTGAGAAAAGCCCAGCTTTGAACATATGTAGACTTGCTACAGCCAATCCTTCGCTGCGCCCTACGTCTAGCCCCGTGTCCGTCTCCGGCTGCTTTTGGGCAGGAAACAGCAGCAGGACTGATGTAGCCAATAAGCTGAGACCAAGTAATTATTAATAAGGCCGTACCTAAATTAGTCGAGGCCTGGTTCAGGAAATGGTCCCAGGTCAGGAAACGGTCCCTAGGTGGAAGGATGGACCTCAAGAGACCAGGGTGCCGTTTTGCAAACTCGGACTCGGAGGTCGCACTTGGGTTTGGTGGCTGTGGTGGCGGAGCTTTGTAAACTATGGCTCTATCCGGCGGGCTTTTGGCAGGCTTTTGGCGGGGTAATTGGATCTGGGGCGGCGGGGCGTCTTCCGTGAGCGCCCGGTATTAGAGCCCGTGATAGGCGACTCACTGAGAACCGTCGCCAGGTTACTTGCATATCCGGTTCTCACTAGCAAGGTGCTAACAGTTTCGTCCAGGGAGGTTTTTTCAAGGGGAGAGCTGCTAGCAGTATGACAGGGAAGGCTTGTACCACGTGGGAAGGTCTGCTACGAAGCATGGATCACGTCCTATGCATAGTCACGGCGAATGCTCGCTGGTAACAAACAGCCCAAAGTAGAGAATTTTCGGCTAGAGCGACTGTTCGCTCCGAATGACTACTCGCTAAAGGCGGGCAACCCTCCTAGATAGCGATATGACTGTTTGTATTACGACATGTACGGAGTATTTTGTGAGACATGCACAATGACACTAAATGTGCTGTAGTCTTACTTCGCTGGAAGAACAGGGCTGGAAAAGGGAACGATCGACCATTACGAGGATTTGCTTGAGACGCCCGTTACATTTTCTAGTACTGTAACCCGGAATTCCCTCTGTAGCAGAAGGTGGGCTGCAAAGCCTTGTAAAATATTAGCTGTAGTTACCTAGGATAAGAGATATTATTAATAAGTTAGCATTAAGGCGCCCTTTGCTAGCGCTAAAATAGCTCTACTTTTTATTGAATTATACTGCAACATAACGCAGAATAAAGGGATAGGTTTGCTTAAAGCTATGGTCCTCGAAGACACGCTAGGTGTAAGTAAGCTCGGATAACCACAAACCCGCTGGATGGGACAAGTCCTTGCAGTATGTCCAACATTAGTAATAAAGTTTAATATATACTACGCCCTTCCGTGTGGGTCCAAGATTGGTTTTTGACAGATGACAAATGCTTGACTTCAACTTCAGCTTGGTGGATAAAATACCCATATGCGGTTTTCATAAATATCTGTAACAGTTGTATCAAGAATATTATAATGTGTAACCGAGCTGCTTTACTTCAAATCTCAATTTGCTCTAATTCACTGATATGAAGCCCGCATCGTCAACACCAACCGCCATACTTCTGATTGACATCCAGAAGGCCTTCCAACACCCGACTCAATGGGGCTTAGAACGAAGCACGCCAGATTTTGAGAACAATATTGCAAACATCATCCAAGCGGCGCGCGTATACAACAATGGACTAACAGAGCCGCTCTCAGGCCCAGTGATTAATCCTATCCATATCATCCATATCCATCACCATTCCAGCAGTCCCGACTCCGCTCTCCACCCGTCAGCTAAGGTGCCCGGTACCGATTCGCCCGGCATAGAGCCCTTGGATTGCGCCGCACCCCTACATACTGAGCCTGTTGTCATCAAAAACGTCAATTCTGCATTCATTGGCACCAACCTTGAAGCGAGACTGCGCGCTCTTAAGGTGCGACAGCTTATCATTGCAGGATTGACAACGGACCACTGCGTCAGCACCACCACTAGGATGGCGGCCAACCTCCATGTTCTGGGTGAGGAAGCAGGTACTGATGGGAATGGTATTTTTGTGATACAAGATGGAACCGCTACGTTTGCTAAGGGCGGTTTTGATGCAGAGACTATACATGCAGTGAATCTCGCGAGCTTGAACGGAGAGTTTGCTTCGATTATTACCACAAAGAGCGCTATGAAAGCTCTGTTCTAAGGATCTTTTCTAAACCTTATTTATTTCGGTCGGGTTGTAGAAAACTAGGCTTAATAGTTATTCTAGTGGCCACTATTATATATATGGATCTAGAATAGCTCCAAGCTCCATGCCAGCAGTATACACCAAAATTGATGAATCGTTTCTCGCTGTTGGGAGAACCCCGGTGTGGATGAATTGCTCTGAGATCGGATTCGAAGGGGCATCTGGAACTAAATCTATATTGTCAGAAGCTCAGAGAAATAAATGGCAGCGTGCTTGTACTTACTTGTAATAGAAACGTGGCCGTCGCCATGGCGAACCGCGAGTGCTGATGTCGGGTTCTGGGGTTAAAGTTGTCTAGTCCATTCCGTAGGAGCACTTTGGAATTCCGCTAGGATCACAAGAATCTCTCATAAATATGGTATAACCTACTCAATGTCGAAATCTGCGGTGACCAATAGCATTGGCTTTGGCAGTGGCAGAGGTATGTTGGGTGGCGTAGAATATGGCTGTCCTGAACACCAGAGCTAGGAAAAACTTAGAATCTTTCTCAAGTTGTAATTCATTCAACAATAACGCACTTGAATCTGCCATGCTTGCGTCTTACCCACTGTAACTGCATCAATCTACAAATCAAGATCTTCTAAGCACATGACATTATAGCTCTTCGTTTATGGGACCTTACCTTCTCCCCAGCATCGTAGGAATTCCGGAAAGCCTCAAATGTGTTATCTTCAAGATCTGGCACATCATAATAATCAGTGTTGTCCTGCAAAAGACCAAAAACATACCATAATCGCTGCAAAGTAATGGCATTGTCCACACTGCTGCAACACTGGGAATCGAATTGTATGCGTATGTGGCAAAAACGCTAGCGTCGCCCTGCAGCGCTGTCTCAATGGCCTGAATAATCGTAAGGAAGTCGGGGATGTCTTAGCAGTCGGCAAGTGTATAGACTTTTGCATGCAGTAGAAGCGGAGAGATATGAGTAAGTGGAGTGGCACCTTCCTCGGACGGGTTTCATGGTCTTTGTTGGAGAAGGTGAGGGTTTGTCGTCTTCTTGATGATGGTCAGTAGACTTGTAAGGCAACTGGGTGACCTTAGAAGGAAGGTAGTCATCAAGATAGAGGAACTGGAGAAGGCAGCTGGCAGCTTGCGGGTGGTCAGAGCAGAGGTCGAGTGTTCCAGCACAAGGGTTGATGGGTTGCGGAGTGGGGTTTAGGGTAGCGGAGACGTTGGGCTGATGTTCCCGCTTGAGATTGCAGAAGGAGAGAAACGGGTTGGAACGGCGGCAGACGTGGATGTGGTGTAAGGCATATTGGAGATCATTAGCAATAACAAGTGGTATACCTCGGATTATAGGGATTCTTATGCGTCTAACAGGAGGGTTTATTTTGTTAAGATACATAACACGTGATATCCGCGCTCTAACTGTGACGCAACTAGAGAATGCTACCATGGCCCTCTCTGCGGGCCAACCTGTAGGTAACCCAGTTATTCAGTGATACTTCGAAACGTAACCGCTATTGGTGTAAGAATCCCAGGGTCATTCTTCCACAAACTCCAATTGCGCGCAGAGCTTCGAGGTTAGTACGGGAAAGCATGGTTGCCTTTTGGCTCACAATCAATCCTTCGGACCTACAAAATCCTCTCGTTCTTATTCTCGCCGGTATAGAGCTCTCCAACACTGCCATGACTACTACAAGTGCGGCTGTTTGTCATGCTGTGGCAACATCGAATCCCGTTGCAGTAGCACAGTTCTTCCATTATACATGCAAAGCAATATTAGCAAACTTCTAGCTACCGGATCCGAGGAAACTGGAATTTTTGGCGACGCGTCCAATCATTTTGGCGTTGTAGAGACTAACGGCCGTGGTATGCTTCACCTACATACGTTGATCTGGGTGCGCGGAAATCTAGGTTTACGACACTACGTGATCAACTGCTTGAGGACGGCAACTTTGCGGCTCGCATGGTTCGTTACCTTGAGACCGTGATCATACAGAGTATTAATGAAGTCGATGTACTAGATCCTAATGTCCCTCCGCAGAGAACTTCACCTCAACGACCGACGGTGCCTCAGACTCTGAATTTTATGATCAATTGCTTTTTGATAGCAATAACGTCGCTCGCCAGAAACAACTTCATTCAAAGAGACACTCTACGACATGTTTTAAATACAAGCGAAACGGATCCGGTCAAACCGCTTGTCATTTTGATATGCCGTATCAAATCATTCCCCAGTCAACAATCGACAATCTGGAAATAATCCATCTTCGCCGAAATCACTTGTGGGTAACCCCCTGGAATCCAGCCTTTGCAAGCTGCATTCGCTCCAATCACGATATATCCTGGATCCCAACGATTTCCAAATCGTTATCCATCCTCTACTACATCATTAATTACGCCACCAAAAACGACGTATCTCCTGGCAGACAGTGGTCAAGGCCGCTCTCCTCAAAACGGTCCATCGACAAAGCGATTTAATGATGAAAGCTCCAGAAGCTGTGAGTGGTTGGAGTCGCCGAACCGCATGCGAAGTTGATCCGGAAAAGGCGTAACTTTAGGTATGGTAAACTTTCCGTGCTTGGGAAAACTTCTCTCGCATCAACATCAGGAGAGAATTGGGTGGTGAGATCAACGAGTGACGGTCGGGACCAAGTGACCTATCAGAAATACCCACAAAGAATCGGCCCTGGTTCAATCTCCAATTCACAGTCAAAGGATTTTCTACGTAGTATCGCCCCTGAAGAAAGCTGTGGATCCGCAACGTCTCATTCTGTCTGATGGTCTGGATACAAATTGTTCGTACGACCTGATGACGATTCAGGTGATTGTATCAAGTCTATCAAGCTCCCCTACGTTCTAAAGGATACGTATCTATTGATGATGTGTTTTCTAATGCACCCCCATCAATTCATGGAGCAGAATCCCCGCCACTAAACATTCTAGAACGAGCAACAGTCAGTACCGATGATGCCAGGGACAAACTGGACAAGATTCTTGGCCAATTAGACCTACAAACCAAGTTTGAGTATGAACGACGATATCTGTCTGAACTGCGAGACAGCCTACTAGATCTTCAAGGGCAAAATGTTATGCGGTTGAAAGAAAATTCTATTTCTAGTTGCGCCAAGTTATTTGAGACGCCTCTAAGTCGGTGCAAATCGCGTGTCCAAGATATCTACGATGCATTGATGGAGGCCGTTCTCCCACCACAAATTTTATCTGATCTCTCTCTTGCCTATGGAGGTAACAGTATGAGACTTCATATTGCTTCCGCGGCCGGATTTTGGCCTAGACTTGCGCCTACTTTCTTCCTGCAACAGCTTGGCAGGTTTCGATGGCAATCCCTCAATGAGTCGTGGAAGAGAGCCGTTATTTCGTATGGGATTGCGATAACCACTCTCCAACAAGCCCAGCGCTCAATTCAGATCCAAGATAACGAAGTTGATATTCTCAGGGAGCTCGAGAACACAGGTCATATGGCATGGGACCCATACCAATACCCAGAGTGGTTGCTCTTGGAATGCGAAAGCGGCATCATCATCCGAGAAGTGCAGCATCAAATTGCCAGGCAGATGGTTTTACCTCCAAATAATGAAAATGCTGTCATGCAGCTCATTATGGGAGAGGGGAAATCCTCTGTAATTGTGCCAATTGTAGCTACTGTTCTCAGTAATGGTTCACAAATCCTTCGCATTATCGTACCCAAACCACAAGCGAAACAAATGTATCAAATGCTAGTATCGAAACTCTCAGGACTGCTAGATCGTCCAATTTTCCGAATGCCCTTTTCGCGAGCGGTGCGTATGGACGAGAATAGGGCAGCTGTTATCCGTCAATTGGCTCTACAATGCATGGAAGATGGTGGGGTCATGCTGGTCCAGCCGGAGCACCTGCTGTCGTTTCAATTAATGGGACTTGAATATCAGATCAATGGGAAGGATCAAATCGCTCGTTCGCTGTTAGAGCTTCAACGACTATTTGACAATTACTCAAGAGATATAGTCGATGAGAGCGACGAGAATTTCAGTGCCAAATTCGAGCTGATGTACACCATTGGGCTTCAACAGCCGATTGAACATACTCCTAATCGATGGGTAGTGATTCAAGAAGTGTTGACTAGATTCGCCGGGATCTGCTTCAACCTGAAAGAGTCATTCCCAGAATCGATTGATATTGACAACCAGCATCCTATGAAATTTCCAAGAATTCGAATACTTGGTACGGATGCTGAGCCTGCCATTCTTGACCGCCTTGCCGAGTCCATCTGTGAGACCGGGATGACCGGATTTCCGGTCGCGCTACAGCGTACACAGACGAAGGATGCTCTCCGTCGATACATCACCTCTCCCGACCTCACAGCTGAGGAGATCAGCGCTGTTGAAGAGGCCCCATTTTGGAGTGAAGCCACTGTCAATAATATTCTACTTCTTAGAGGTCTCTTATCAGGTGGCATCCTCGCTTTCGCGTTCGGGCAGAAACGTTGGAGAGTCGACTATGGCACAGATCCTAATCGCGAAACCAAAACCCGACTTGCTGTGCCATTCCGAGCCAAAGACAGCCCCTCACCACGGTCGGAATTCAGTCATCCAGATGTGGTCATTATACTCACATGTCTAAGCTACTATTACAAAGGTCTCCAGGATGAAGAGCTTTTTGAGGCCCTTGGTCTTCTCGTTAGGTCAGACAATGCCGATCTTGAATATCAGGCTTGGGTGGAAACAGCGCCGGAATTGGCACTTCCGTTCAAACGGCTCACGGGTATTAATATTCGTGATCGCGCACAGTGCATCAACGATATCTTCCCAAAACTTCGCTTTTCCAAAGGCGCCATTGACTACTTTCTTTCCCGCTTAGTATTTGCAAAGGAATCCAGGGAGTTCCCCCACAAGCTCTCAGCTTCAGGTTGGGATCTAGGCAAGAAGAAAGCGAATCCCACAACTGGCTTTAGCGGGACTAACGATACTAGATATGTGCTACCAATTGACATCAAACAGTTGAACTTACCAGAGCAGAATCACACCAATGCGTTGGTGCTCAAATATCTGCTTCGTCCTGAAAATGGCATCATGCTGACGCCAGAGGAGATAACAGGAGCTACGTTGGACAGCAAATCGCTCCTCATGATGGTGTCGCAGATGAGCTCGAATACCCGTGTCATCTTAGATGTAGGCGCACAGATCATTGACCTTGACAACCTCCGATTTGCCGAGACGTGGCTCCAGTTTTACAAAGATGATGAAAATGTTCAAGCTGTTGTTTTCTTCGGTGATGCCGAGGAGCTGACAGTATTGGATAAATCAGGCAAGACTGAGCCTCTTCAGATATCACCATTTGCCACTCAATTAGACCAGTGTCTTGTCTTCTTAGACGAGGCACACACAAGAGGCACGGATTTGCGACTGCCTACATATTATCAGGCAGCTGTGACTCTTGGCGCAAACCTGACAAAGGATAAGCTTATGCAAGGTAAGGGAGTCTATTTAAATAATACCGAATTGGACGAAACACATTGCCAACTAATTGATTTATCAGCGTGCATGCGGTTGCGAAAACTTGGAAGAGGTCAATCAGTTGTATTTTACGTTCCTAGAGAGATTGAACAAAAAATCATACAGCAGCGAAGGTCTGATTATTTAGGCCCAAAAGAAGTTACTGTATCCGATGTTCTTTGCTGGGTCATCTCTGAGACTTGGCGCGACCTGCGACGAACTGTTCCGCTGTGGTTGACACAAGGTGTTCGTTACTATGAACATGAGGCACTTTGGATCCGAGAGGCGGATTTCGAGGACGGAATAGAGTGGGCCAAGAACTTTCTCGAAGATGAGGCCCAGAGTCTCGATATACGGTACCGTCCTCAGGGTAGTGTTGCATCGTCACAGCTGATTAAACGCGCCGTGTCCGATATGAAGCCGCAATTTCAACGCCGTTGCGAGGAGTTCGGTCTAAAGGACCTCCGAAGTTCGTCCCTACAGGAGGAGCAAGAGCGAGAGCTCTCACCCGAGATGGAGCGGGAGCGACAGGTTGAGCCGCCTCCACAGGTTGAACCCGAGCCTCACTCCCGTCATCCGGACCTCGATTATTTCATCGCAAATGGAGAACTTCCTACGAGCTTCAGCGCGTTCAAACCTGCCTTTCAGGCTCTAGCAGACACTTCAGCAGCAAAATATTTCAACGTGCGAGAGTTCCCCAGCAGCATCTTGGTGACTGAAGACTTTGCTAGAACGGCCAAGACGAATAAGGTTTTCTGCAGCGGCTTGGATCTATTCCAGCGGCCGGTGCATTGGATCCTGACAAGCACTGACCGGTCCAACATTATCAAATATGTGGTCATTATAAGTCCATGGGTGGCGCACCAGTTTCTGCAAAAGATTGAAGAGTCGATTAAAGTGACTTTACACCTGTATGCAGCAAGGAGCAATCTCAGTTTCCAGTCGCTAGACCAGCTGACATTGTATACTGTGCCTCAGAGACCGAGTTTCCCTGTCCTTAGACGCAGCAAGATGGCTGAACTGAACATCTTCGCCGGCCAACTATATTTGTCGTCTTTCGGGGAATATATTGAAGTATGCGACACACTTGGCCTTACTTGGAACAATGTTGATGACTCTATCATCTTGGAACCAGACGGATTTATTCCTCCTGGTGCCAATGGGAATCTAGTGAATAAGTCCGGATTCACAAAAAGCCCTGTGCAATTTTTGAAGGCGTTGATCACGAAAATTCGACGAAATTGCGAAAATGTCGAAAAGACACATATAGGCAAGATTCTAGATGGAGTTCTTTTACTAGAAAAGGATTTTAAGGAGCTTAACTAGAAGATTTAAGATGCGGGTGGTTATGTCGGGCCACGAACGGGTTCTTTGCCAAAGAATATTGTAGATACCGCAGAGCAGTATCAAGTGGAAAAAAAATGTGACATGGGGTGGACACTCTATACAGATATGGGGTAGATACCCAAGAATAACGACTAAAATGATACACTAAAGGAAAGGGGCAATACTCTATATACTAAGCCAAGCTGCTAACTTGCTGCGTCGTATGTGGTATGCTATAATAATTGTCTTGATGTTCCGTGAATATAGACTCATGTTTTATATACATCGTCCAACAAATTGTGCCACTGCTCGCTCATGCACCGCAATAACCTCTCATCCTCGGCCGGGTCCTTGATTAGCTCTTGCAATTTCTCCACTTCCAACCCATCCAAATGCCTGGCCCACCCAACCCGCTGCAACCATGAAATGGCCTCATTCTTGGGGTCCAACTCCTTAATGCGCCGCATTGACTGCCCGTCTGCGTATTGCTGCTCTTGCATGTCATTTTATTTGTCTAACGCGTCTAATATGGCGGCTTGGTTGTAACCCTTCTCGTCATCGTTGTCTTCTGCTCTCGCTGTTGGTGTGTTCTTGATGATACTAAATCTAATGACGGCTGTACTCTTCACTTTGAACCAACTGCTGGCTGCACGGCTTCGAAAAAACCTCTGGCACTAAACCCCCTCTATCCATGGCAACTGGCGCGGCTCCTGCTTCTTGGCCTTGATATTGCCACCTTTCTTCCAATCATTAACCCAATTCCTCTCTTTGTAATGTTGCTGCATAACCCTAATCTTGTGCGTGACGTAACGGCATGTGCGGCACCGTAACCCATCTCTCTTTGGTTCTTCTATATATGGAATGGGCGTCACTTGATCTGGTAATAAGTACCCTGTTGATTGTGCTTGGTTCTGGATTAACCCGGGAACTCTTTGAATCTTCTGGATTGTCGCTCTTCGCGTTAATGGCTGGATCTTGGTATGATTTGTTGCTAAATATGTCTTGACTTCCTTTGCGATATATGCCCACTGACGTTCTTAACAAAATATAAACGGATATTGGTTGTTGTATATAAATGGCTCCATGCAGGCTCGATGCGAAGGAGTAATGCAGCCAAGTCGAGATTGGGCATCTTCTCAAGATAAGAAACCAGTGAAATCTAAAAATTAGATTTTAATTTGATGATTTTCAGTCTATGTCTTCTGATTCTTAGTTCTAAATCTATAGATATACGCTTACCGCTATATGCGTATACCCGATTGGGCTTAGTCAGATTAACCCCTTAGTTGTGCATGGACAAAAAGTGTGCAGTCCGGGGGATGTTCTGTGTAATTCAGCGGATTACAGCGTCCACTTGGTGCAGTAGGGCGCGTTCGACGCTCGATAAGAAGGGTAATAGGAAAATAGATCGAATAGTCCGTTTGTTTGTTTGTGTTTGTCGTACTAGTACATACAAAGGGAAAATAGGGGAATTGTTCAATCTGTGTGCCCTGGACGGGAGCCTCCCACTTGCTAGATCTCCATTATATTTAGTACGACTTACTACAGCACTTGCTCCGCTCTTTCGGCGCTGAAAGAAAGAGCCATAGGCCAACGAAGCAGAGTGACTCGCAATCACTTCCGAAGGGCAACATCACCCCAAAAACAGCAGGCATAGGAAGTACAAGGCCATACGATCGGGGCTTCCAGCAACACCTGATCGATTAAGGAATTGCTTATGAGTTCCCAGATGGTCGACTGCCGCCAGAGCCTGAGAATAAGGATGATATACTTCGGGCTCTGGCCCGACCCAGGGCATCGCTGGCTCCGTCCCATTTCCCATACCATGACTTCCGCAAGTCCGAACGAGCAGAAGCGCAGGCAATGAAGGAGAGAGACATTACGATAAGCGTCGTCCCTATTATTGAAGGAAATATTGGGGATAGAAAGTGCGCCTCCGGCGAGATTCCATTTACGAACCTTGATCATCTAATGGACGGTACACTTGTGCCAGGCAGCCCGGATATATATTATGGTGCGCGTCCAGAACAGCTCCACCCACAATTACGCAAGGCATTGCAGGGCTCTGTTGTCCCCTTGACTCAAAGTGGCCTCCCTGTTGCGCCGAAATTTTTCATGTAAATAAAGGGGAAGGATGGGTCTGCAGCTATAGCTCAATGACAGCTATTTTACAATATGGCCCTCGGAGAAAGAGGCCAACAGGCCCTTTGATTGCGTAATCCTTTTTATTTTTCATACAATAATGAAGCTCATACTCTTGGCTGCACGTATGTGGATGGATAATTAAAAATTTTCGCTTGCCATGCAATACCACTCCCATGCCTGGTGGGCAAACAGGCTTTATCATCACACCGCTTAGAGCTTTTGCTTTAAGCAACGATATCGATACCTTTGGGCAAGGAGCCGTAGCATATCGTAATGGTAGGGACTGCGCAATGAAGCAAAGAAATGAAGCAATTGAGTAAGCAAAATAAGAGAGTAAGCTAGGATAAAGTCATTACGTTCTATCCAGCCTATATGTTGCTGCGGTTCAAGCGCTTTTGGTCCACAGCTATATCGAGATTGTGGCGGAGGGACTGACAGCTGGGGATATAGCTGGGCATACCAGAGAACCCTGCGTAACAGCATGACGATAAACAGTAAGGATATCTCCCGCCGTGCATGGCGGAGCCTGTGCGGAAAAGAAAGTCCGATTCGCTGCCTCCTGACTTAAAGGAATATCTTTAAAAATAGTTCACACATATCCTAGGAAAATTACCTAGAAAGCCCTTCTAGGCCCGCTATTGAAAGAACTTAGAAAATCTTCGATAACTATAATGAACATGTCGAAGAACTGAAGAAGGCCTCTAGGGATATTAGAGAAGTCTGTATGGCGGAAAACATTTTGGTTAGAATGACTACCATTGTTTGAGTAGGATGTTGAGCTGCTATTTATTTCATCTGGGAATGAATTGGGGTCCCTTAAATGATGTTGACGCTGGTGCTAGCGCCATTAACTCTACGAAAACTAAGATCTCCGCATACACCACGCAGGGTAATCGCTCCCTCATATCGCCGAGACATAAGCGCCCTTTCGTCATCCTTTCGTGAGGGCAATGCATGCTGTTTGGTTAAGACAGGCCTTTACAGGTCACAGTTGTCTTCCCGCATGTGCCAGTTCCCTTCTCTAGGGGGAAAAGAGGGGATTTCTGTCGCGAACTCTGTGCATTCCATTCATTTGGTTCGCTAAATGCAATGGAATGACAACGCCCCATAGTGCTAAAGTAGATATATCTACAGCTTTCCTTTCCATTGTGCCAGCTGATATTTTGGTGTAGGCTATACACGGCCGTGGCAACTGAACCAGTGTGAGACTAGCGCCGACAGCACGAATTTCCTAGGTTTACCGGGGGTTTAAACTATGCACTTGATGCAAAGGAAGACGTCCTAACATTGGGATAAGCTATGCAACATTAGTGAGACTACAAGCATGTACCACACATTGCTATAAGCAGTCAAAGCGTCATTGGAACATATAGTTCCTTAATCCCAGCAGAGATCTACCGGGGCCATTTCTCCATTGCGGTGAGTTACTGTAGAATAGGGAATATAGGGAGATGTGGCACGTATCGCAGACACAAAAGCGAATTGGCACTCGGCTGTATGCTAAGGTTCAACATCAAGAGGCTTACATGATTTCACTGGATGATTAGGAATCTCAATAAAGATGCCGAGCTCTGGTAATGTTAGATATGCTCAGGACGACATGTCGATGCGACTACGACCATCCCGCTATATTGACTACTTTTCCCACGATTGGACTCAAGAGGCTATTCAGATATCCTGGAGATATATCGCGTTAAACTCTAGTGAACTCGACAATGCGGCTCGCTTAGGAAATGCATCCTTGAGAATATGGATAAAACACATGAACAAGCTAAAGACTATACCTCCAGAGGCCCTGAATTGGTAAGTAAAGCTAGTTGTCTGTAAAAGGAAACGCCTAACAAATTCAAGGTATAAGGACTACGATGTTACGTGGCTCTATGGACCATTACAGACAAATGATGGGGTTTTAACATCAAGCAATAAAACTATTTTCAGTTCGTCTGATAAGAAACCTAGCCTGAAGAAACGGAGCACGCTGGACTCCATATCTCAGGGATCATTCTGCTCAACACCAATATACCACCTAACCAAAGTTAACGGAATGGCACAAGTAACTAGTATACAGTTCCGTCTATTGCCATCTTCAATCCTACGACTTCTATCCTCTATCGGGGAACGCAAACACGTCCGTTTTAGCGAAGAAATCACAGTCTATTCTTACTAGCCTTCATAATGATTCACACATGTGACGGACAGTATTAGGTGGTCTTGCACCTCCATCAGAGACACATAGATGCAGTAACTCGCCTTTAATCAATCCGAGCCCTTCATCGGGTAGCTCGGGTAGCAGAGCGATAAGACGTATCTCCTTTCTAGACACATCGAGGGCTCTATACGTTGCCTGGGGCTGTTTGGCGCAGTGGTCAAGCACACAGGTGACCTATAGAGAAAGGTCGTAGGTTCGAATCCTGCCAGCCTCTACAAACAGACTAACAAAGCAAGCTTTTGCTTGTGAAGACACTATGCTTAAGGCCCTCTCTAGCCCTATAGCAGAGCTGTTACTGGCTAATAGCATGAAACTATAAGGTTTTTTTCCCCTTCTTGAGGGGTTTTTTCCCTTTATATTGGCTTGCTGGTATAAAATTTTTGTATTTTTCCTTTGTATAGATGAAATGTAGCGAACAGGGGTCGACACCTCCGGCTATTGGTTGATAAGCTCGCTGTCTAGCTAGGCCGGTCTCGAAGGAACAAGACCACGTGGAGGTGATTAAGACGGAAACTGGCTCCTACCGACCTATTGCTCAATCGTGGGACGTGTGTATTTAAGTAATTAGATACTTATGGTCGTTAATATTAACAACAACAACAACATCTACACGGTGCCTTTGGAGTGGAAATGACTTTCTCCTGGGATGCAGAAGATCTATAATTAGGGAAAATAAACGAATCGTATAATTGAAGTTGGGAGAAGGGGAAAAAAAGGAAGAGCAAACTACGTGAGAGGTAGTTGTGTAGTATTAGCGGGTGCGTTGGCATTCGTTTTGAACGAGCTCAAGACGTACGGTAGCTGCCGTAAGCAAATCAGTCGGAAAAAGCACATACGACCGTTTGAGAGTCGTACTAAATATAATGGAGGTCTAGCAAGTGGGAGGCGTCCTTCCAGGGGGCAATTCCCTATTTTCCCTTTGTATATACCAGTAAAACAAACACAAACAAACAAACGGACTGTTCGACCTATTCTCAAATTACCCTTCTCAAGGGTCGAACACGCCCTTAACACAGGATCAGATCACATCGGCCATTCATGCACTGCTTTATTTGGACCCTCCCTACGCTCAACCTGGACCACCGCTCGAAGCCTGTCTAAGCTAAGTCTTTGTGGCAAGCTGAGTGGTTATTTAACTGACCTATAGGTAACAAGGATAAGGTAAATCCGGGATTTCTACGATGAGTATGATTACCTTCCTAAGCCTTAAACATACTCTCAGGCAGCCATATTCAATATACTAGTCTACAATAAATACTTCTATGCATTTCAAACTTTGAAAAAACAACACCACGTCTACAGCATCCGGTCCAAGACCTCGAAGCCACGAATACCACCCGCAACGCATAGAAAACGAATAAAAACAGCGGAATCGATGTCGAACGACTGATTTTAGCGACGTAACAGAATTTTAAGCATGCGCTGTAGCGCTGTATCGGATTTTCATCACGGTCGCAAAAATTCGCGAAAATTGCAAAACACGTGCCAAAATACAGCCAAAAGCAACAACAAAAAAAAAAACTCCTACAGCCACCAAAACCCCTGTAACAAAGCAAGAAATATATAAAAAAGTTACTCTATGTTGTTTTACGGTTATTAAAGTTTTCTTCTTTTTTATTTTAAAGCTATTTTCGCTGTTTCTCTGTTGCGTAAAAAGGTCGTAATTCCTAGTAGAAAAGTTGTTTCGCTTTTCCGGGCGTATCAGTGAATTCCGGGCCAACTGTGAGGCGAAGACTCACAGTTGGTTACTAAAAGTGGATCCAACGGGTAGTTGTTTCAGCCTAATTGTTGCCCTTTCGAGCACTGGCACTGACCCACCCCGAGCCCACTTTGGCTTGGTGCGAAGCCTTCGGTCACTACGGTAACAATCACAACACCAGGAAAGCGCGGATAACGGCTTCAAGTCTATCAACAAATTTGCACTTCCACACCATGGCCGAGAGAACGAGGGTCGAAGAGCTTGAGAAGCTTTTACGGGAAGCTGAGCTACGTGCCGAGAGTGAGCGGCAACGCGCTGAGAGAGAACAGCAACGTGCCGAGTTCGCAGACAGGCAACGGTTGGAGGAACAACGACGCGCTGAATCTGCAGAGGAGCAGACCCGTCACACAACATTGGACGAATACATCGCGGCTTGCCATAGCCTTGTCTTCTCTAAATTAGCGGTCGAAACCGACAAGTCGCTCACATCAAAGGGCTCTATCACAAACCCCAGGAACAAACTATGTCCAACAAGTCTCCAGCCGTGGCCAGATTTCCTGGAACAACAGAGGATCGCTTCTGGCGTACTTTACGACGCGTTTCCCACCGATATGCGGGTTTTTGAGTCTCGGAACTTCCTGTCCGGCCTTGGAGGCAGGATTTCGCAGCGGCCGATCGCGAACGAGAAAGACCTGGAGTACTTCCTTCATAACAGTGTGGAGGATCCAGTTAGATCCATTCTGCATCAGCTCGAAGAGGTGGAGCATATTCAAGCCGTTTATGGGATTGGAGGCGGCATCATATTCGAAAATCACCCCAGTGCCATAAGCGATGTATCAGAGGAGGTCGTTAACCGTGAGAGCGCATCGCCGCCGAGCACGCCAGATCAGAAATGGCCTTCTAATCAACTCCGTCCCGACCAAATTTGTGTCTACCGATCTGAAGATGGCCAGTCGCCAAAGCGTAGCATGATCTATGTTTGCGAATATAAGGCACCTCACAAGTTGACAGCACAACATCTGCGTGCTGGCTTGCGACCGATGGACGTCTACAAGGAAGTTGTCAACCGCAAAACAGTTCCAACCTCGGCAGACCCGGAAGGCCGTTTCCAATACTATGCTGAAAGACTGACTGCCGCTGCCATCTCGCAAACATACCACTATATGATCGAGGGTGGCCTCGTCTTCGGGCTCCTGACAACCGGAGAGGCTATAGTCTTCCTCAAGATTGACTGGGATAATCCGCAGACGCTGTACTATCACCTGGCCGAACCCGGGCCTGAAGTGTCTGCACACCCTCGTAATTTTCACTCCTGCACCGCTGTCGGACAGTATCTGGCCTTTACCCTTGTAGCCCTGGCTCGTCACGGGCGGCGGCAGCAACACGGTCAAGAAGCGCGCCGGCAAGTAATTCAAGGACTGAAAACGTGGGCAGAAGACTTTGAAAGCACCTTACGCTCCATTCCGGCCAACGTGCGGCATCCCCCAAGTGGCTCCCCTTATCAACCGACTACGTACGCGACCTTCGATAGATCGCCATATCCCTTTCGCCATAATCGGCGGAAGATCGACTGCGAAGGCCAGCTCAGCAACCAACCTACAAGAAGGGACTCTCCGGAACCATCAGATGATGAATCGGGAGGAAAACTGCCCGATACACCCAGTCCTGCGGAGAGACGAGCTGGTGGTGGGGGTCGAGGACAGGCAAGACGCAGCCGGAGGATTCAAGCTCGTCAGACACAAGATGCTCCATCAAGTCGGCGTACGGAGCATGCCGTCCAATATTGCACGCAGAAATGTTTGACCGGGCTGGTTCGCGGGGGGTTCCTTGATAACGGTTGCCCTAATGTAACCCTGCACGGCCGAGGGCTTGCTTCTAGCTTTGCTGGCTTGAGTGTGCGCCATCCCGTCAGCCATAGCAAGTGGCTGCAACTTTTGAGGAAACAGCTGGAAGTGTCTCTGGACGATGGAGTGGTGCCTCTTGGTGATGGCGGCTCACGAGGTGTCTTGTTTCGAATCACGTTGCTCGCCTACGGTTATACCTTCGTCGCGAAAGGGACTGTACGCGCATTTATCAAGGATCTGGAGCACGAAGCCGCCGTCTACGAACGCCTCAAACCAGCCCAAGGAGTCAGCATACCTGTATTCTTGGGCACTGTCGACCTCCGAGCCATTGACAAAATCTACTACTATGACTACCGGGTTTATATAGTGCATTTGATGTTTCTCTCATGGGGGGGTTACAAGCTAGACGATGCTCGGATTGCCAGTGGCGCGGGGAAAAGGCTTGCGGATTGGACATTGCAGGCTTTGCGATCGATACATTTACAAGGGGTTGTTCACGATGATATCCGAGGAGCCAACATGCTGTTTAACCCGGAAACAAACCGGATCATGATTATTGACTTTGAAAGAGCAAAATTTGTGCAACCTCCTCGGCGTCCGCTGGCCCAGCTGGTACCAAACAAGCGGGCATGGAGTTATGAGGTACCCGACAAAATGACCGGGGGGAATGAACATTCCGGTAGATACCAGGGGAAAGTGGATGTTGGTGGTGATATTCTGATGGCAAGGTCGACATTTTCAGAGCTCAATTGGTACGAAGCAAATGATGCAAAGGCCGTAGTTTGTTAGGATAATGGTACAAGGGAACTTGCTTGACAAACCATTTACATACTGGCTGGTGCACCGCAACATGGGTTCTTCTGCTGCGTCGACAGCCTAGCCCCGGTGAGCCAGATGCCCGTATACCCCCTCTCATAATCCAGGCAGAATTTTTGGTCTCCAACCTAGCTCTGGTAGTGGAAGATTCTCAAATCCCCACTGCACACAAGCCTCACTCCTCGTCTTCGGCCAAGTCAATTCCCAGCCGCCAGACAACTGCAGGTCTCGGCGTAACAAGAATTGACCGATTTGAGGAACGCCTCGCTAAGAGACACCCTTGCCAGTCGAGCCTACTTTCTACAACCTGCGGTGACAGACCTATGGAACAGCTTCGCTAACCTAGGTTCAGGCTCCGGGCCAGCCATTATCGCGCCTTAGCAACTATCAATCACACAAAACATAGCCATCCTAGTGCTAGCTCCTCAAATTGCAGCATAGCTTGGGTGCGGCGTCTGGAAATAAAGCCCCCACGAAAGTCACTGTCAGACCCGATAGATTCGCTGCATACTTGGCTGTGGTATCTGTTGGACTTGTTAAGCTTGCAGTGTGAAGAGGCCAGAGCATACTCTTGGAAGAATGTAAAAGCCATGCGATCCGTTGTATTGTTAATACGTAAAATTGATGTTTAGCTCGATCATCTGCTTGAGTAGTTTTTCATGAGTCAGGTGGTGTGGCTCGCTCCCGGGGTTGGCGTATGTGTTACTTTCGCTGCCTAGGTCGTGTAAACTGCTGTCGTGCGGCGGCGCGTCTGCAATGTGTATGATACACCGTGTTGGATGTTCCCACTTTGCATTGAGACTCTGCCGAATACCACCGAGCACATCCTCTGGTGCATCAGCGCCGCCTGTAGCGTGTAGCTGATTGAGAAATGAGAGCACTTGATCGGTCTCAAGAGTAAAATCGAGATATTGGATGTTGCACGAGTCTTCGTGATACTTGTACCCCACAATCGCTATGCGTATAGAGGCTTCGTTGAAGAAAGTCATGTTTATTTCGTTGATGATGCTTTTGACTTGGCCCTTAGCTGCTTCAATACCAGTGGCGTCCGGGACATGGGCTACACGACGGAACGGAACAATTGGATGCCATGCTGGAGACGGTAATAGGTAAACAGGCTCAAGTGTTAGATAGAAGTAATTTATGTGATGGTGAGAAATAGCTAAGAAAGTATCTCAATGTGAGTGGAAGCCTGATTATAATATAACCTCACAGGAGGGAGAAAACAACGCGTAGGATTTTATGGGGGGAGGGCGGTTCACTTTCCATAACCCCGCTCGGCTGTAGGCATCCCGCATTTCATACTACCTGGCCTGCATATATCTATCACATGTCTTCTATATGAAAAAAATGGTCGGAAAACTTCGGTACACTCGGTGCCCAGTTTCAGTTTCATAGCTTGTCTATCCAACTATTAGTCTAATAGTTGGCCGGATAGCCTACTAGACAACGTAAGGTACTGACTGTATAAAAAGGGACAGGATATCAATCTTGTGGACAGTGATGGCCAAATCTGCCTGCAACTGGTGGCCGCCAGTATCGCAGATACCAGCCTGGCGGACGATTCATTGCATGTCGACAGGAAGCTTTATTTCTTAAACAAGCTTTATTTCTCACACAAGCTCTGTCTCTTAAGTAAGCTTTATCTCTTGAATAAGCTTTGTCTCTTAAACAAGCTCTGTCTTTCAAACAAGCTCTGTCTCTTAAATAACCTCTTCTCTTAAATAAGCTCTGTCTCTTAACTAAGCTTTCTCTTTTGAACAAGCTTTGTTTTTCAAAATAAAGTTAGTTTCTTAAATATACCTACCACTGTAGTACCGGTAACCACTACATAAGCCTCTTCGTCCTCTCGCACAACATTTCTCTCGGAATAGCGGCACCTCGAAGTGGCCCTTTCAGCAGCTTCTAATTTCAGCTCCTAAATCAACCACAAAAATAAGACAACTCATGCTCCAACATTTTTCGTGTTCTTGGTGCCACCGACGCTACATTTATAGATTGTTTAGCCCTGCGCGCGAAAGTTGAGTTTTACAGTTGGTGCTGAGCCTATTACCACACCAACATCAGCTGCTGTAGTTACTCTTGATATCAACGGCGGAACATGTTCCGAGCGCCAAGGTGAGTACTATCCCTCATTGGCACCTACCCAAACGCCACATCGTTATTTGAGACAGGATGCCCTTGTTGTTGGCTTTTACTCTGTGGGCGTTTTGGCCATTTTACCGGTGGGGAACCTAATAGATTTCTACAGCAAAGTTTAAATGCTTTCTAACCCGAGAGGGCCTCCGGCAAGCTAGCCTTGTGGTCACAAAGGCCTGTACATCAGAAAGGCATGTTAACAATTTCATGGTTGATCGAAATCATCGCATAGAGAGGCTCGCTCGAAGGAAACAAGGCAGCCTCGTCCGCCCGACCGGGTACTTCCACACCGCCGTCAGCCTCGATCAAATCCGACAACAAGATCAGAGAAATCAAGGAAAGCCGGCGAGGCCAAGATGATGAAGGCACAGCTTCGTGAGGGCCGCCGGGTCGTCAGGCTCGAGATAGAACGCCTGAAAAAATTGTGGCGAGACGATCGCCTCGAAAGGCAGACTTCAAGGCAAAAGCAAATAACGTTCAAGGCGTGGCTTCAGCTTACAGGCAAAGGAGATGAGTTTCTCTTCCTAGAAGTTCAAAATAAGGAATTTGCCGACCTCCTTGGCTGTAATAACGATGCCTTCTCTATTGATACAACCGGGCAGCGATATCAACACGTTGAGGAAGTCATACAGCGTGCCTTGACGAAGCCGCACATCCTTGAGCAGATGTCTCAGTGCTCCTGGGGCGCCGGGACTAATAGTTCAATAGATATCACAATGGGACCGTTCAATGATGATAACGACCATAACAAGGCAACACAAGAAGAAACGCAGGAAAAAACACAAGACCACACGCAAGAGACGATCTTTGACCTCACGGGCGATATCAGCATCGAGGATGACTCCCATAGCCGGCCGCCGTCGTCGCCGACTTTGCCGCTGTTGAAAACGCCGTCAAAAAAGCCCTTTATTTCACGATACAAAAAGATCAAAATAATGCTCAAGGACTTCAAAAAGACCCGGAATTCATAGAATCCATTAAATATAATTATATTACTATAAAAATCATCAATAAATCAATTATGAAGAAAGTGACCTCGAATTAGATGCTTTTCCCCTATAAACCGAAGTGTTCCGATTTTTAGTGCCCAACTGTGAGGCAACGCCGAATGATTGTTCACTAAAAATGGAACCAACGGGTAGTAACAAGGCGACGGCTAATTGTGGACTTGTACCCCTGTTTCCAGTTGTACCCCGCAGCTACTGCGGGGCCCTGTAACAAAAACCAGCACTGGGCCCCGCCGATGCTGGCGAACCCCCCTTCTTTCCATTTCCTTCCCACTCTTTCCCTTGCTCGCTCTATCCAGCCAGACGAGGAAAAAGAAACGCCCCACATAGTGAAGGAAATGGAAGATATCGTCTCGTTGGTAGCGGATCGTGGAGGACAGGTCATCTGGACCGTTACCTTCGATGCGATGATGCTTGACGTGGTGGTAGAAGTATGAGTTCCATGTATGTCCCATCAAAGGATCCGTGATATACGGAAATAGTTTGTCAAACAAGGCGTACTTCTTGGACAGAATTCCACGCTGGTGAATGTGCTGATGCATCATAAGAGTGTAGGTGCCAACATAGTAGACCTGCATAACAGCATAGATGCATCCGTCGATGAGATTGAAGTTCCGGAAGAGAAGGATTGCACTTGGTACTGAGGTGGTAAAATACAGTATCAAATGCATAATCATCACCACATCCGTGACATATCGGGCTGTTTTTCGAGCCCAGCGAACGAATGGCTGTAGCACTGATTGTTGACAGACTTGGGAAGACGATTTGGAAGGTCGTCAATGGATACAAATATGGTTGACTCAAAGTGAGCATCGTTAGGGTTTCTCAGAGACTCGAGGAGAGCAATGTCTTTGGTGGCCTCAATTGAGTCCTTTTCGTCTTGCGGTTCAGCCTGGGCCTCTGCTGAGACATGGTGCCGGTCATTGTCAGCTTTAGATTGTTCCGAGTGAGCCTCCCGTCTCTTAATGATGTCGTTCTCCAGATTTTTTAGCACAATGTGGTCTGCACGGGTGAGACCGCTGTCGTAAAATGGTTCGCTCCCCATGGTGAGATTATCGCGACCAGATATAGTTTCTGGCGTAAAATCGATATTACACTTTTTCGCCGAAGTATACTTACTATTCATATAGGCAAGTATGCCAGCTGCCAATCTCAGCCCCATATTAAACTTCTGGAAAGTCACGTGCAGCAGCACAATGGAAGTAGCTACAGCACCGGAGCTAGTCTTAAGCACAACACGAGCAACAGCTCCAGGTTGCAGCTTATCGATTTTTAGTGCCAGCAACAGCCGTTTCTTGAGCTGCCCCTTCCCCTCGTCACTCCATCAACACCATTCCAGTATAGGGAGAAGACAAAAAAAAATAGTATAAGATTCCGGGATTTGATTGTCTTTTCCTTTTTATTGGCGCCTTGCACGAGCTGCCCTGCAATTGCAGCTGCATCCTTTTTCGTATCCAGTGCTTATCGCCTTTTTTGGTTTGTCGAAGCTCCGTCCGATCTTGGCAAGATGCTGTCATCGGCTGCTCTCACGGCCGCTCGTCGCGTGCTCACCAGCACCGGCGCAGCAGCTCCATTGCGCCAATCCGTCGGTCTTGCAGCTCGCGCACTCGTCCTGCGCCCTGCCGCACCCTCGTTGCGACTGATCAGCGACTCAGCGCCTATGCGCGCGGCCGCAGCGAAGGCGACCAAGTCCAAGTCAACAAAGAGCTCCACCAAGAAACCGGCCAGCAAAAAGCCCAAGGCTAAGAAGCCGGTTAAGAAGAAGGCCGTCAAGAAGCCAAAGAAGACACCAAGGAAGAAGGTGTTGACGGACGAACAGAAGGACAAGCTCGAGATTAAGAGGCTGAGACAGATGGCGCTGAAGGGACCAACTGCGCTTCCGGAAACAGCATGGAACGTGTTCACAGTCGACAACGTACGTGCTGGGGAGGGCAGTCTAGTGGACAAAATCAAGGCCCTTGCTACTAGCTTTAAGAACCTGCCCGAGGCCGAGAGAGAGGAAGGCTGACTCCTCCCTTGATTTGGTTGATTACGAGACTCACTTTTCTCGTGTTTCTAGCGTATGGCATCAATCGGGCACTGTAACAAGATTGCCAATCAAGAGGCGAAGAAGAAATGGATCGAGTCTTTCCCTCCCGAGGCAATCCACGCTGCCAACCTGGCTCGTCGTCGCCTGGCTCGCAAAACAGACAAATCTAGAACCTACCTCATTCATGACGAGCGCATTCCTCAGCGCACTGGATCTGGCTTCACATTTTTCATCAAGGAGCACTTCAATGACAATGAAGGTTCACCCAAGGATGCTATGCGCAACCTGAGCGAACGCTGGAAGGCTCTGAGCAATGAGGAGAAGGCCCCTTACCTGAAAAAAGCTGCTGACATCGCCGAGGTATCGGGAGCGCAGCTGAAGGAGTTGAGGGAGAAGGGCGCCAAGTACTGGAAGGAAAAGCTTGCTTCAGCCAAGGAGTAAGCTATCTGGTAGTAGAAGCTGATCGTATTGTATGTTATAAGCGAGTAAAGAAGCTCCTTTTTTTTTTTTTTTTTTTGCCATGTCACTTGTCTGTATTTTTATGGTATATCTATCTCTTGGCTTTGGGCTGGCGATAGGAAATGGGAGGGACAATGGGATGCGAGAGCGAAGAAGAATAAAACGCCGGTCGGTTTCCTTTGCTGTTGTTCTGCTTGATCTTTAGCAATGTGTCTTTTGCTGCGGACTAAGGTGGTGTAACAATAACTTGTGTATTGTATGGATGTTCACTATTGAACGCTATTTTCTGTATATAACAATCCTTTTCAGCAAGAAGAAACAAATAGAGTTAGGTATGAAAGAAATATTTCCCATAGAATTTTCTACCCACTTATGTCGCAGTCTCAGGATTTCTATATCGATATGGGAATTACTACACGGGCCTGACACTTTGGCTACACGGGCCTGACTTTCACCACTTCTGATTGGTCGCACGGTTTCCCGTTAACGTACTATGGATTCTGCCGCCTCCATCATAAGTACTAGCCTAGACTGCTCTCACTAAGCTGACCTTAATCGACCCTTGTAGCAGCATCCTCTCAAGGGGTCTGCAAAATAAGCGGGACCGCAAAATGAATCAACGCACACAACGGCAAAATAAGAGCATCTTTTCTATCCAGAACCCGGTCATCTTCCCTTCTAATTCTAATACAGCTTTAAACCGGTCTGGCATTGAGTCAATGAAGCCATTTACAGTCTCTAGGTCAAGATTATCCCAAGCTTCTTTTGCATCAGCAACTAGGTCTTGCCGGTTACTATACGGCAAGCTCTGTATCATCATAGCTGGTACCCGCCATGCGTTTTCAATCGGCGAGAGATCCGGGCTGCCTGGGGCATTAAAGAAATACTTAATTTTCAAGCTTTTCTTACACTCCTTTGTTATTGGTGATGTGTGCCTTGAATCGCGATCTTCTTCTAGAATAAAGTCCATCCCTTGGTCTAGCCACGGCTTGACTACCTTCTTAAGGATGTGGTCACAATAATAAGCTGAAGTCATCTTGCCGTTGTTATTCGTTGAGATCCGGTATTCGTAGAGATCACTCTTAAAATTATAGCCAATAGCACCCCAAAAATGGGCGTTAAAACGTTCTTCTTTAAGCCTTGGGCTTGGCCGCTCGTAGAGACAGTCAGGGCAGTATCTCTCGCCGGGCTTCCGGAAGATATAGACTTGGCGATCATCGCCGCAAGAGGTGTGCCACTCATCAGAATAGAGGATATCGCGATAATCCTCCTTAGCTGGCCTATGCTCGAGAGACTTGCGGGCAAATTCCTCGCGTTGCTCAGCGTGGCGGCGAGATACAAAGGATCTAGGGCACGCGATGCATTTCCTCCAATCTCGTGTGCCTAGGGCTCGTTGGACCGTTTGAGGATGCACTTCCTTATCTATTCCAGCAGCCGTAACTAGCTGAGAATAGGTCAACCGGCGTGCCTCAAAGCCTTCATCCCAGATCAGCCTTTCGATCTTAATCTAGGTCTTCGTCTGTGAGAATCCTCTTCCGGCCGCGAGTCTCTTCACAAGCGTTATGGAATTTGCGATCGAACGACTTGACTATCTCATAGCCGCGGGTCTTGCTGACCTGGCAAGCCCGGAAGATATCTTGATAGCTGAAATCGTGACCATAGCGTTGTTTTTGCTGCTGCGCAAATGCAATAGCGCCTTTAACCCGGGCCTTCTTTGGAGTATCATGATGATATTAATGAACTTCAGCTTGACGGGCCATTATTCTTATAAAAAGAAAAAGGTTAGCTAAGCCTGAAAATGCTGAAAACGCTGATTTAAATAACTTAGAAAAAGTCATGATGTCAGCGGTTTTGGCGTTGCTGTGTGCGTCAGTTTGTGGGGTTGTGTGCCGATTGTTGGCCAATTCCCTGTTTTTTTGCAGACCCCTTGCCTCTCCACAAGAGATTTTACTGACAGACAATTCTGACGGATAATTGTGAGATCGCATTGGATTGAGTTTAACTATACTAAAGGCAGTAACTGTATTGATTGAGAATTATCTGAGAAGCAAGAATCAAGACGGGTCGCTGCCTGTTTTGGAAGTGCGCTCACTACGGCTCACTTTCCCAACGTGAGTCCTTGCAATGATTGGTCGGGTGGAACTACATTGTTCCGTGGATGCCTACCCTGTAGGCCTATTGTTGCGACCATAAGAGTCGGGTCGTTATATCTGGCCTATTCATCAGGCCCCTTTGAATAGAAAATGAATTCCCCCCATGAAACGCCGATTCGTGATAATTTGATTCAAATGGGATCCCATCACATGCTAATTGGTCCATGAGCTTTTCCCGATCTACCCCACAAACCACCCTTCCTCCTCAATTTTTTTTTCCCAGCTGGGGAAACTCGATTCGTTTAATACCCTAGAAACCAAAAAAAAAAAAAGAAAAGAAAAGCCCGACAACTGAATTTAAGCAGCGTCGACACTGGCAACAGGCTGAGCGACCTTGGTGACCTGGGCGCCAGCACAGGCGATGCGCTGACCAGCGGAGTCGTTAATGTAGGTGACGTCCTTATTTTCGAACTGAGCACGCTTCCAAATCTCGACCTCGCAGCCGCCGCGCAGAACACCGACACGCATCGTGGACAACAGGTTGTGGGCGGCGTTAGAGTGGTTGTAGACACCACCGTTGAAGATGGCCGTGGTGTCCTTGCCAATAGCGGAGGTAATCAGGGCCTTGCCACCAGGGTGGTCGCGGATAAAGCCACCAATATCGTAAATAACACCAGCAATAGCCACCAGGGCCCTTCCCTTCTTGGTGTCAACAACGAAGTCGTCCCACTCGACGATGGGAAGCTGCTCAAGGGGAGTACCCCAGTTGAGAGTGGCGCGCTTCTGGTCGAGCTTCTTCTGGAGCTGCTGGACACGGCCCTTCTCGATCTCGTTGGCGCGGAACTGCTTCAGGCCGTAGGCCAGGCCAGTCCACTTCCACAGGACAATCATCCACTTGGTAGGGTCGTACTGCCACCACTCAATGGCGTTTCGGTAGTCGGCCGGGAACTCGTGGTGGAAGTTGTGGTAACCTTCGCCCAGGGTGACGAGCGCGGTGATGACATGGTCGCGGGGTGAGTTGCGATCGTCAAAGGGCTGGTCGCCGAGCCAGTGGGCCAGGGAGTTGACGCAGAAGGTGGCCTGCTGGACGAAGCAGATGCGCAGGATGCCGGCGTAGACGAAGCCACCCAGCCAGTCGTCGAACATGAGGCCGCAGAAAACGGTGGGGAAGGCGAGGCCCATGAAGATGACGCACTTGAGGTAGTTGCGATGCTGCCAGACAACAACGCTGTCCTCGTTGAGGTCGCTAATATCGCAGCGGCCGATGCGCTTGGGGTTCTGCTTGAACAGCATCCAGCCCATGTGGGAGTACAAAAGACCCTTGCGGACGGAGTAGGGGTCCTTGTCGGTGTCTGTGTATCGGTGGTGAGAGCGGTGGCCTCTTGACCACCAGCGGATGGAGCCCTCGACGGCACCAGCTCCGACGGCAGCGAGGTAGATTCTGAGGGGCAGAGTGGCCTTGTATGAGGAGTGAGCCCAGAGACGGTGGTAGCCTGTTTGAAGAAGTTGTTGTGAGTACGGCTGAACTTGAATTGATATCAATGTTAAAGCGTTTACTTACCAGCTGTGATGCCCAGGCCAGTGTTAAAGTAGTAGATAACGGAGAAGATGGCCGTGGACAGGTACAGAGGCACCCAGTAGGAGGAAACAAAGCCGGCCAGCGGGATAAAGACGATGAAGATGGCGTTGAGCCAGTTGATATGATTGTACCAATTGCCCCAGGTCATGGGCAGATCGGAGATGTGCGCCTTCTTGGGGTCGTAATTTTCGCCGGACCGCAGAGGCACATAGTCGGTTGTGCCATCTGGGAAAGCCGCCGCCTGGACCTTTGCGGCCGAGGCTGTGGGTTCGGACATGTTGACGATATCCTTTAGGATTCTCGTCCGTGTTGAAGAGAGGAAATACCGATAGGAAAGAGGAAGTGGAGGTTGAAATAAAGAGAGTGGATGGGGAGCGAGAGGAGAGAAGAGACTTTGTTTAAAAAAGCGTCGAGTCTCGGGAGGAAGAGGACAATGGGAGCTTTCGAGAGGGTTGGGAGGTTGGGGGGGGTGGGGGGGTGAGAATCAAAGGATGATATGATTGAAGGTTGTCGCTTCTGATATCAGATTTACGAGGAGCGGTTTTGATCAACAAGGGGGTCTGATATCAAATCAGAGCAGATCAAGCTTGAAAATCCCGGATATCCTAGACAGAAAAGAGCAGAAACTAACAAGCCATGCAGAAACCCTGAAGAAGACCATTTGTTGGCCGTCGACTTTTGCCCCCGGTAGAGAAGTGCGGGAAGAAAAACGAGAGAGACCGGAGAGTCAAGTCAGGCCGCGGTAGGCTGTACACGCAACCGGCGAGGCCAATGGCGGGCCGACCACTGTACCTGCTACCTGCGGCTGTACCTCGTGCATAGACTGCCGAGCGTGGTTTGGTTGGATCTGCCTCAGCTTGGTTGAGAGATGGAACGGTCATCTTGCAGGTGTAGGTAACCAGGTACAGGTACAGGTACCAGGTACTGCACGATTACCGGTTGCTATGGCGCTGAAACAAGGTACTGTCACTGCCAGATGAGTGCGTTGAAACAGTTGGGAAAAGTCGCATCGCATCAGGCCATGGGTGTTTATTGGAAGCCGCCCAACGGGCAGCACAACAAATAACTGAATAGAATCTTGTCCCAATGGCTTTTCGAAATGAGTCAAATCAGCAAATGTGCGATTCATGTGGCCTGACACCTTCTCCCATCGTCAGAATCAACTGTATAGTACATCCTCCAAACCAAACACCAATATTGAATTTAATCCAACATTCCACCAGGTACGTCCATCCTCGTAAGTGGCTACCTGGGGGCTCTAGCTCTAGCGCTTCCGATGTCCAGGTGGAGCGACGCGCCGTCCCCCCAAG